AGTTATATAGTATAGTTTAGTTTTTCAAATTATGTATCTATTAAATTTTCGTCGGTTATAAGTACACACTTCCAATATTGCTAACGAATTTTGCCCCTAAGCCCAAACATATGTTGCCAAGTAGGCTTTCAAATTCGGCACGCGTCACACTAACATGTTTACATAGTCGTACTTACATGTTGTGTTTTATTTATGTTCTTCCGCCGTTGAGTTATATAATTCTTTTTTTTTTAAGAAAATAGATCAGCAACGATTTAAGTAAAGAAAAGAAAAATACAGTTCGTCTTTTTGCATCAACATAGTTATCTAAAAGTATTTTGATAGCATATCATAATGCTGCTAGTTATGGCGAATATGGCTATGGCGACTTAAGAAGCTCTATGACACTATGGTGACAACGTATCTGCATTTTGATTTCACATTATCGTGTTACCATTATGTAAAATATAGGTATGCTCGTTTGTAACACTTACTTCTACAACAGATATGCAGACATACAAACAATACACGACATAAGCTTACAATCAAAAAAAATATTTGGTTATTATCAATAAAAGTTGTGCCAATTCTTTAGTTACGAATTATATATAATAATCATAATAATATTTTTTTTTGTTTCAGGTGAGAACTTTTTTGTATGACATTAAAGAGTGGAATCTGTAAGTGTGCCTGTTCCTTTTGTACTTGAATACATATAAAAATTCAAATTTGACTTAATCTTTTAATTCATTCCGTTAAATTTTAATGTTAATTTCTTCACTAAGTACAATATGATGTGTTCAGCGCCATCTATTGAACAAAAATGAAGCTCCTTACCTATGTTGTTTTTATATTACGCTACCTAGATAATTATATTGTCGAAGATGGCTTGCAAAAATTATTGTGAAGGTTACTTTACTTTGTTTGACCATGGCGCCTCTATGTCCCGCTAGAGTTCATTTTTAGTTACAATTACCAATAACAAAAACATTACCTATTTTGGTAAATTGGTATTCATAAATACTCTACAAACTTGTTAAAAAACTTAGGTTGATTTCCATTAATAACTTTTACTTAAAATTAACCTAATAATAATAATAATAATAATAACCTAATAAAAATAATACGTAACCGGTTATATCTGTCTTTTTTTTAAATTCAATTATAAACATAATATTATGTTTTACATATTATCGCACATTTATTTTTATCTGAAAATACATATATACAGTATATAGCAAAGTCATTTCACCGAACGCTTTATGCCTCTTGTTACATAGACATTGATTTAAGAACATTCACCACTGACAAAATTCATTACGTGAGTGAAAAGAACGTCACAAATGTTGCTCTGACGGCCGATGAGTAATGGCTTGTGCTCCGATGAGATCACTTTCAAATGGTGCTAATTTAAAACAGCCGACAACGATGAGAGTCGTTAAACTCTGTTGTCTTGTCCAAACGCATTTGGCATAAAGTCAAAAAAGGATTTAGAGTATTTTATATTTTTTTGCTATTCACATACAAACAACAAATTTCCAAGTTATAAAACTCTGCTGCTGTCGTAAGAAAATGGATTATCTAAATTCAGATATCGACTGAGGGAAATGCCTGGGTATTGTGACCTTTTAACTGAATAGCCATTTGGTACCATAATACCAGCGGCAATACGAAAGCCGTAATGACCAGGAAAACTTATTAAATACGATTTGTGGGAAGTTTTTTTTTAATATGTGATAGAGCCACACTGCAACTAGCCTAGTAGTTGTAACACGAATGGGTCGACTCGACCGGGGGAGGACCATGCTCTCATAAAATATCACCGTAAATTAGCAACATAAAGCTGCTGTGATAGGTTTCGTGGATGAAGAGAACCGAAGACCCTTTTTACTGGAAGCAAGGCATTCCATCCTGGTCCTAAGGGGTGACAACGTATGTGCATTTTGACTATGAAGGATAAGATAAAAGTGTCTGTGGGTCTCAACATTTTTTAGCTTTTTTGCTGTATTTTGTTTATTAAATATTATATTTATTTTGTACCTAGCATTTAAATGTCTGTCGACATATTATATTTATACACTTGTAAGTAAAAACTCAAAATAATTAATTTCTACTAGCGCCATCTCTTATTGCATGATGAAACTGTTTCAACAGTACGTCGTGTCGACATTGACCGTTAGATGGTAGTAGTAGTATTTACAGAATGACGCAAGCGGTAAATGAACGTTCTTGACTGAGCCACTCGAGTTCATTTCGACACAACAGTGGAAATCGTGCCGTAGAATGAACTCACAAATCGCGTACAGCGTCACCTTGATGTTATAATAAGACAGTTTGTTCCAATGTTAAATTTATATGTTCGCAAATTTCAGCATTATACTTATATTTTTCGAACAATTTTTAATATATTACGATTAAAATTATTCCACAATTATTATGTTTTGTTTATCATCATCATCATTAAGTACATCATACTTCACAAGCTCACCACAAACTAACTAGAAACACTGAAGCTCACGTTCACTCACTGCTGAACATTACATTTTAAAGTTAGCGATTTTGTATCTTTCATATTTCCTCTTCTCTTCGCTAGATGGCATTAACAGTTTTTTTTTTTAAATACTGTTTGCTAAAGAAGACAACCGATTAAACCGAAAATAGGTAGGTTATTCCTGTTTAACTTTACCATATCTAATGATTTCATACATTTGCTCGATAAACCCATTTATATTACCTTACCGGTATCGTAATCGTATTGGCAAAAAGGCGTATCGATGCATCCCTAGTATTTACACATTTTTTAAAATTCGATTATTTGCTTTTATTTATCTTCTTTTTTATTGTAAAAAATAATTTATTTAAAATATAACTTTCAATTATTTATTCTCTCTGTTTCAAAATTCCTATTAAATTTAATTTCTTCCTGACTTCCTGGTTCCCTTTATTTCTAATATATCAGGAAAATTCCTTTTTTATCTGGTCACCTTAACCTTGGGTATTTTAAGCAACATCATTTTATTCTCCTAGTTCAGGCAATATTATGTATATATATATATATATATATATATATATATATATATACATACATATATATTTGTTAAATTTATTTATAAACATTCTGCTTGTATACATACAACATTATATACATTTAGACAAAAAAGCACTACTACAACGTAACATACATGCGATACATTGTTTTAAAAGTCGATTCGTCGAGTTCATCGTAAACGTACTTGCCCGAGACGACATTGAATCGTAAAAATAATAAAAAATAAACATAAACAGTATGTGGCGTAGTTTGGAATTTTTATGTACCGGGACAGAGCCGTAAAGTGCGGGACAAAGGACACAGGCAACTTTGCGCGCGATGGTCTAAAGGAAAAATTACGCTCAGCAACAACGACGCCATTTTGTATTTTTAAAAGGTAACTATTATTTGGTATTCAGCCGCCATATACGAGAGTTATTTTGTATGAAAAGAGTAAAAAGGCTGGTTAGACTGAAAATTGCCACTTCCATTAGTAATTATTTCCTGCCGTGGAATCATTTTGGTTTGGCTACTCTCGTCCAAGCGCTTTCCAATAAAACAATGAGAATAATGCATAGCAAAATTTTGTTATTATACTGACTCTCTTACCTTTCAAACCAAAACTATTGTTTTGGTGGGTGGGTGGGTGCCCTGCTGCCAAGCATAGGTAGGTATAAAGGGGCACGGCTAGATGTATTTTCTGGAAAAAATCGTATCGAGGTAGAAGTTCTCTGTATTACTACTAACATTATATAATATGCTTATTTAATAATTATCATTAACCTGATTAATAATAACATTTTGACAGTGCAGCCAACTAATTAAAATAACAATTAAGAGAATATCCATTTCTGTTATCTGATCCTCTTATCCTAAAAACCTTATGCAAATGAACGTTACTGCAACAAAGCCAATAAATAATGTGCCATGTTAAATGTAAATTTTATAGTTTTATTTCTTCAACCTTGGTATTAATCAACTCACTCGTGTAGGGTCTGATTGGACTATACGAGTTTATTTTTTTCATTCGCCAGCGCTAATTCCTTGCAAATAATCTTCCAAAACAACATTTTCAATTTATCTGTCGCAATATTTTCTCTTTCGATTTAGACACCCGTAGCGCATTAATTTAAAAAGGAAGGCGAACGTTTCGAATATAATAAAAATCGAATATAATAAAAAAAAATTTTTTTTAGTTTTGTTACATTATTTATAAATAAGTTTTAATTTTAAACGTTAAAGCTGTTGAAGATGCATCTTCATAGACAAGACAATAAAAAACGACATTTGAAAACAAAGGATTTGTTGTTTCATTTGATTTTTGATATTAAGTATATTTTACTTATTTACACAAATATGAGAGGGCTATGCTCGGAGTTTCTCTGCGTGATAAACTTAGGAATGAGGATATCCGCAGTAGAACCAGAGTAACCGACATAGCCCAACGGATTAGTAAGCTGAAGTGGCAGTGGGCCGGCCATATAGCTCGAAGAACCGACAACCGATGGGGAAGAAAGGTTCTCGAGTGGCAGCCTCGTACCGGTAGGCGAAGTGTAGGGCGTCCCCCCACGAGATGGAGTGACGACCTGGTAAGACATGCAGGAAGTCGATGGATGCAGGTGGCTCAGGACCGTGCTTTGTGGCATTCTTTGGGGGAGGCCTATGTTCAGCAGTGGACTTGTGAAGGGCTGTAATGATGATGATGATGACACAAATATAATGTTATTATTTATTAACACTTTCACAGCGGAGCATTTAAGGCGCCGCTTGATACGGTACGCGGGCGATTTTCTGTATATTTGTTAATGTCATATAAACTTAACTAAAATGAGAACACTGATAATTCTTTTTGTGTATATAAGATATACTATTGCAGTTTATGATTAGTAAATAAAAATACATTATATTATTTTTGTTATATTTATAAAAAAAAAAACAATATAGTCCTTTTTTTGAAAAAAGAAAATAAGTGTTACATAATGTATATGCCTCTTTATAGATGGTAATTCTTTACCGTGTGATATTTTTTAAAACACGGGTCATTGCACAGTGGCACATTACAGTCCGGGCAGTAAAAAACAGTCTCCTTGCGTCCTCTTTTTCCAGTTTCGTGTTTGATAGTGTCGGCACAAACTTTACACACTCTCGTCACTTTTGTCTTCTTTTCTGTACTTGGAATTCTTTCAATGAAGTGTCTTCCCACTAATCTCGAAGTCTTGGCGATCAGGTGAGCTCCATGAGATGGACCTGCATCATCAGTAGACCTAGCTGGCACAATGCCTTCACCACAAGCCATCAAAAATTGGGAAAACCGCAATTGGCGGCGTGCAGGCTGCTGTTTGTTGTAAATTACCATGGAGTTCACCATGGCCCTTGCTACTAAATGGAAAAACATTTTTTTCCACCACTTCATACATTTCCTTTGCAGGGCATAATAAGACACGTATTGGTCGTTCAGGTCTACACCGATTTTATTTTTATTGTAGTCTAAGACGCAGTCCGGTTTTATTTTTTTTGCCAGACCTCCTTTAGCTTTTACAGTCACCTCTGTCCAGGTTGCGGCGTGTTTGGTCGTCAGGAAGGGGACGTCCCGCTTGTCTTTCCACTTACAGGCGGTGAGATTCCCACGGTGACAGAAAGACATTTCATTCACCTCCAAGAGCTGTTGTCGCCATTCTTGGGGCAAGCCACGCCGGTTCGGCATCACAGTGCCGACAACACGAGTATTTTTCAGCCAGAGTAAGTCTGCAACCGTTGGGCTGGAGAAAAATCGATCCATATATATCGTGTGCCATTTTTCAAAGTACGGTTCACTTAGTTCTGTGACTATTTGCTCAACCGTTTTGGATTCACCGACATATGGAACCATGTTCAAAATATACCCCGTCGCTGCGTCACATAACATATAAATTTTCATTCCGTATTTGTCGGGTTTATCTTTATTGAAAACTCGGAAGTGTACTCTGCCTCTAAAGCCACACGTCCCTTCGTCAATCGTCAAGGATTCCCCAGGATAAAAACTGGTAGCACACAGCCGACAGAGCTCGTCAAAGTATGGCCGTAGCTTGAAAAAGGCGTCGTAGTTATCTTGACCCCGAGGTATGTATTTAGAATTGTCGTTCAGGTGTAGACAACTGTAAATAGCCCTGAAACGATCTCTATTCATCAGTTTGGCCGCATATGGGGTGTGTATAATTTCTCTTGTGGACCAGTACGCGTCAAAGCTTTCTTTATGCACTAGCGACATATGAATTATTATGGAGAAAAAAAGTTTCAGCTCTTCCAACGTAACGGGTGTCCACTTATCGAGCATACTCCCTGGTTTTAGCAGTCCTCGTCTAGCCAGCTTGGTCTTCATCTGCGCGGCATATCGATTCGTTTCAGTTTTCAGGAGCTTCCAAAAATCGTTTGTGAAAAAGACTGAAAAGCAGTCGATTTCTGATGAATTCTTATCTATGGGGGCTAAGACACGACATACTTCTTCGAAGACAGGGTCTTCTAATGGACGTTCTCTTGGCACATACGTCCATCCATTGGCCTCGTCCATTTCTCTTAGAGTAATCTGCATTTGTGAAGATCGCCCGTGTGTAGTTGAGCGCACTGTGCCGCCGCGCTGACGCCCGCGCCGAAACCTTCTCTGTGTACGCTCCCCAGTACGCCCTCGCTGGTTGACCGGTTCACGAAATTGCTCCTCCTCCTCAACTGCACCATCATCGTGCCTTTCTTGACTGGCCACAACCACTTGCAGGTCAGACAACAAGTCTACAAAAGAAATTTCTATTGAAAGCATACTCAATACGGAAATGGTTTACCTACATAGAAATAATATAAATATAAATTATTATTTACCTTCAATTTCTTCATTCTGAGCCTCCTCAATATCAGAGTCATCATCATCCTGTAAAAAATCAGCAATCTCGCGCATAGAGATCGCACGATTGCGCTGTGAGGAAGCCATTTCGCGCCAAAATGCAGTAACGTTCACCCTGTTTACTCGCCAGCGGCAGACTGAGCGGGCGGCGCGGGGTATCGCATATTGTAGCTCTCCTGTTCCCGCTTCGCACATGTATTGCAGATGTGTGTATAGCTTATAAACTCGGCTACAAATGCGTACCCAGCGAATCACGACTAGGCGACGTGATTTTCTAATAAACAGTATGAAAGGCGGTAACGAGTGCCGCTCGTGATTCGCGAGTTGGAGAAAAATATGAATGCCGAGCGGTACTCGTGATTCGCTGTGAAAGAGTTAACACAAAGTTTTTATTTAAAATAATAGTCATATTTTATTTACTTATCAGATTTATTTACTATCTTAGATTAGATAAACAGAATGGCCAACAAAAGACAGCACTAAAAGAAGTCTAATGTCCCTGCAAATTTCGTTACGGGAAGATTTTTATTTTAGAACACATTAAATTAATGATCAGCAAAGATTACCGTCTCGTCTCGACGTCCGTCTGCCCTTGAACGGCTTTTCACGTCTGTCATAATTTACCTCAGATTGAGATTCCATGTTGCAAATTGTACCTTATCGCTAGATGGCGCTAGAAGCACAACTTAGTTTTATTACATACTTTATTAATTACTAACAAGTTATAAAGGCTTTATTTAAAAGATTTAAATTTTATATAAATAATAATATTGAATGTTTTTCGATGTAAACAAACTTAGCCTACCGCAGCTTTCCATTATCAATCACTACAGCCCGTATAAAGTCCACTGCTGAACATAAACATCCCCCATAGCTTGCCTCATAGGGGAGATATTGGTACAGTCGCCACGATTTGCTAGCGGGTGTGCAACCGCAGTTTTTTATTATTATTCAGCTGTTATCAGAAAGATGGTACTGCCCATAATATCATGGTTTGTTTCCCTACATCGCCTTTAACGGCACCCACGGGATGATATGGGGTTGTGGATATTCTTACACCACCACTAAACCGTTACCAATACCGTACGGCGTACGGCCACTAAAGTATCTTATTAGAAATAAATTTCATTCCACTGTATAGGGGAGAGTGGGGTAATTACGAACACTTAAGGGGAAACTGAAATTGAATAAAACCAGATTAAGTTACGAATGTCATTTATTACTTAAAGTTTACTTTAACTAATCAACCTTAATATAGGATTATCCGAAGTCCGAAGAGAGGGGGAGGACACGGTAATCCTCGAATCCGGCAACTTGCTCTATCACCGGGAGGGCGACCATCTGTCCCAAGGAGGTGTCGGATTTATCGTCCACAAGTCTCTCGTTAACAACGTTGTAAAGATCGGGAGTGTGTCGACGAGGGTTGCGTACCTTATACTCAGAATCACCAAACGGTATTCGCTGAAGGTCATACAGGTTTACGCACCAACCTCGGCACACCCCGATGAGGAGGTGGAGGAAATGTATGAGGATATCTCTAGAGCCATGCATTCCTCCAAAACACAATATACGGTGTTAATGGGAGACTTCAATGCAAAACTAGGCACAAGAGAGAACGGTGAGCTGAAAGTAGGGAAATTTGGAATAGGGCAACGGAACCCAAGGGGCCAGCAGCTGGCCGACTTCATGGAGAAAGAGGGACTCTTTATGATGAACTCTTTCTTCCAGAAGCGGCCCCACAGGAAGTGGACCTGGTCGAGCCCCGACGGTTCGACAAAAATGAGATTGACTTCATTATGACGACCAGACGACAACTGTTCAGTGATGTCTCCGTGATCGCGAGGGTGAAAACTGGTAGCGATCACCGAATGGTTAGAGGCACACTGAACCTAAATGTTAAGTTGGAGAGGTCTCGTCTAATGAAGTCAACGCTCCGTCCCCCTCGTGCTCTGTTCCAAAGTCCCGAAACCTTTCAGCTCGAGTTACAAAACCGTTTTCAGTGTCTAGAAGACTGCAATGAAGTGGACGATATGAATGACAAGCTCGTGGAAACTGTCCATGCGGTCGGAGCTAAGTTCTGCAAGACCCGCCGCAGAAGAACACAAAAACTCTCCGATCACACTCTTAATCTCATGGCTGTTAGACGGGAGATGAAGCTACATTCTTCAACAGACTTGACAGCATACAGGCATCTGAACAGACAGATCTCCAAATGCATGCGGCGGGACTTACGCAACTTCAATACAGCTCGTATTGAAGAAGCGATCGAGCGGAACCAAGGCTCCAAAGTCTTTGCCAGAGATCTGTCTGCCAGAAAGAGCCAACTGTCAAAGCTGAAGACAGAATGTGGCAGCATCGTTTCCGGGACACCTGAGATTTTGAGTGAGATTGAGATGTTCTATGGGCAGCTGTACACGTCATCGTTGGAGCCACACGCAAGTGTGAGTAACGATCCAAGAGCGAGTCTCATCCGACACTATTCCGAAGATATCCCGGACGTCAGTCTGAGCGAGATTAGAATGGCTCTCCAGCACCTTAAAAACGGTAAGGCCCCAGGCGAGGATGGAATTACAGCGGAGCTTCTGAAAGCGGGTGGAAGACCGGTACTTGAAGTCCTTCAGAAGCTCTTTAATTCCGTCCTCCATGGTGGCATTACACCGGAGGCGTGGAGCAGAAGTGCGGTGGTCTTGTTCTTCAAGAAAGGTGACAACGCTCTCTTGAAGAACTACAGACCGATTTCCCTTCTGAGCCGCGTCTACGTGCTGTTTTCGAGAGTCATTACGAATCGTCTCGCGCGCAGACTTGACGACTTCCAGCCTCCCGAACAAGCCGGTTTCCGAAAGGGCTTTAGCACCATAGACCACATACATACCCTTCGGCAAATTGTACAGAAGTCCGAAGAGTACAATTTGCCACTATGTCTGGCGTATGTGGACTATGAGAAAGCCTTTGATTCCGTCGAAATTTGGGCGGTGCTGCAGTCACTTCAGCGATGCCAAGTTGACTGTCGGTATATCGAAGTGTTGAAGTGCTTGTACAGTAGGGCTACGATGGCTATCCGAGTACAGAACCAGAGTACGAAACCTATCCAATTGCAGAGAGGTGTAAGACAGGGTGACGTCATATCCCCGAAACTCTCCACCGCTGTATTGGAAGACGTTTTCAAGCTTCTGGACTGGAAAGGATACGGTATCAACATCAATGGCGAGTACATCACTCACCTTCGATTTGCCGACGATATAGTCCTTATGGCAGAATCGCTGGAGGACCTAAGCACTATGCTCAATGACCTCGATAGTGTTTCCCAACGGATAGGTCTTAAGATGAACATGGACAAAACAAAGATCATGTTCAATGTCCATGTCACACCTATGCCGGTAGTTGTTGGGAGCACTAAGCTCGAAGTTGTTGACGAGTATGTTTACCTGGGACAAATAGTCCGACTAGGTAAGTCCAACTTCGACCGAGAGGTCAATCGACGGATTCAACTCGGCTGGGCAGCGTTCGGGAAGCTACGACACATCTTCTCGTCAGACATACCTCAAAACCTGAAAACGAAATTGTACAACCAGTGCGTGTTGCCAGTGATGACTTACGGAACTGAGACGTGGTCCTTCACTGCTGGCCGTATGAGGAAGCTCAAGGTCGCTCAGCGAGCTATGGAGAGGGCTATGCTCGGAGTTTCTCTGCGTGATAAACTTAGGAATGAGGATATCCGCAGTAGAACCAGAGTAACCGACATAGCCCAACGGATTAGTAAGCTGAAGTGGCAGTGGGCCGGCCATATAGCTCGAAGAACCGACAACCGATGGGGAAGAAAGGTTCTCGAGTGGCAGCCTCGTACCGGTAGGCGAAGTGTAGGGCGTCCCCCCACGAGATGGAGTGACGACCTGGTAAGACATGCAGGAAGTCGATGGATGCAGGTGGCTCAGGACCGTGCTTTGTGGCATTCTTTGGGGGAGGCCTATGTTCAGCAGTGGACTTGTGAAGGGCTGTAATGATGAATGATGATGATGAATCAACCTTAAGTTCTGATAAGCAACATAGATAAATTTTCAATATAAAATCAAAAATTAATAAAAAAACAAAACTATGGGGTTCGGGATTCCCCCACAGCACTTGGGGTTATTTTTTTATAAGATAGGGTGACAAACGAGCACACAGTCCACCTGATGGGAGTGGTTGCTATGACCCATAGACATCCACATCTATCCTCAATAAAGAATCAAAATGCAGATGCGTTGTCACCCGTGAGGACTAAGATGGAATGCCTCTTTTCCAGTAATAAGGTCTCCGGTTCTCTACACTCACCATACGAAACACAGCAGTGTTAAGCTGCTATTTTACGCTGGTATTCTGTGAGAGCGTGGTCCTTCCCCGGTGGAGCCGACCCATTCGTGCTACAACTATACTAATAATATAGCTGCAGCCTGGCTCTACCACGGGGTAATTACGGACATAGTCTAATCATCACAGATAAATCCTTTTGATGAACTTTCACTACTCGTACACTTTTCATGGGCCCATAAATTACATTTGTAGCATTTTATGCAATCTTCATGTGGAGGATCTTCATATTTTTCATCACAAACTAAGCAAAAAGCTTTTCTTAGTCAAAGTTTTTTGTTCTTGACAACCCGATTGGCTCTTTCTAAGTCTTCTAATTTGTATTTGGTCTCCGTCTTTCTTTGGTAATTTCGTGGCATCTGAAACATATTTCAGTAGGTATAAATAAGTTCGTGAAGGTACAGGGCTGAACTTAGAGAAACATACGAACAAACTTCCACAAATGTATTTCATCTAAATTCATCATCATTATCATCAGCCTAACGCAGTCGACTGCTGTAAATAAATTATTAAATAATAGACAATAATTTGATTGTTTAAGGGTAGTTACGAACGGTCGGGATTACCCCACTGAAATCGTCCGTCATTACCCAACAGACACAGTAACACAAAACTATATTTTTTTTTTAGGTTGGAATAGCGTGATGCACGCGGCAAGTCCTTAAAAACATTCTTGAATTAGACGTTAATTCATAAAAAAGATACCGAATTTCTAAGTTACACCTAAAATATTATATATATCTATTCAATTTTACGCGAAAATTATATGAAATTGTTGAAAAAATAAAAAGTCAACATACCTTGTACAACGAGCGCGTTGTTGCTTCACCACTCATTGTTCGGCACTACGTTCGGGATCGACTCACGATTGCATCACTCGGAATATCTTCTATTCTTTTCTAACGTAGCCAAATGCAAGTATCCGCGATTACCCCGCGTCCGTGATTCCCCCACTCTCCCCTAATGACTGCTTTTAGTGGGTATGTTACAAATAAATACTATAATTAAAAATTATGTTTGCATTTGCATAACGAAATTATTAGAATGGTGATTGGAACTCTGTTTGAAGCGACGTTCATCTTAATTTATTTTTATATTAATTAACATCGGTGATATTTAAAAAAAAAAACTGTTGGTAATGATATTAATATGCATATATTTTTATTAAATATTTTTAACAGTTTCTCTTAATCTATTGCTTGATATAGGAAATAGAGGAAGAAGGAAAGTTATGATGAAAAAAACCATCTTAATACGTCTTGTTGTTTTTTTTAATAAAATAAATTGCTAACTACACCATCAGACTGAGAAATTTAATAATTTAAATAAAATAATTTAATTATTATTTCATAAGTTTGTTTGTAGTATAAAACATTGCCTGATCATAAATTTATCATGTCTAATTTTTGATGAATACTGCCAGTGAGGTACTGGTAAAATTATTAGCCCAGGGAGCAAGTTAAGTAAGTAGTTAACCAGTGGTTCACGTCAGTAGTCATATGGCGAAATCGATCCCACTTTTGTGTTTCGCGGTTTGTATCAATAATCGTTAGGCTACTGACGTTTCAAATTATTATATAAATTAGTGCTTCATAAAACCCAAATGGTATTTACTATAACCTCAAAAGTACGTTAGTAATCAGTTTAAATAATAAAGTCATCTAGCCAGAATTTTGGCCACAGCGGACAGTCTCAACAGAGACTAGACAGGATTATAGCTAGTCTTCGAGAGTATGCGCAAGCATAAGTGCACTCTCTATTCCCTCACTCTCATAGTCCGATGGGACGGCAATCCGAGACGACCGGAGAGAGATCAGACGCAGAATAATAATCAGTTTAAAATAATTAACAACTTTTAACAAAAAGTAAAAAACGACTCCAAATTGCTAAAAAAAAGTTATTTATGTGAATTTTTTTCTCCAAATTTATATGGCACCACCCTTGAAGTATAACCTATTTAATAATAAAAAAAGAATTAATAAAATTGGTTCACAATCTGCAAACACATCGCGTAACATATATATACAAATAAAACATATACTCGAATTGAGAACCTCCTCTTTTTTAAGTCTGTTAAAAATAATCTCGAACTGGACGGCATTAAAGAATAAGAAATTAAAGATATTAAAAAATAGAGTAGGTACATTAACACACCTCCAATTTTTAATATATTGCTTTGAAAATGCAGTACTATAATACTATATTTGTTATTTTAAACTAAGACATAAAAACGGGTATTCCACATAAATAAACTGAGTACACAATTAAAGGGGCGCGACGGAGCGTAAGTAAAGTCTGTATCACGTTGTTTTTGTCATTATGCGCATCGATAGCTTAATGAATCGTTCCATTCGCCGCCTTCAGAGCGAACGTGAGCTGATTCATCTAAATAACAAGAAGTGTTTCACTATAACTATAAAAGTAAAAAGTAAAGTTACAGCCTATATACTACGTCCTGGGCCTCCTCCTCTTATTTCTCAGAAGGTTTTAGAGCAGGAAAATGTCCGCTGCGCTGCCCGCTGCCCCACACATACTATAAATATTAATGTACTCTAAACATAGATACAAAATTATATATCTGTGGACATTTAAAAAAAAGTTTTAATAAGTTGCGAGTAGTTTATATCTATAGGTACTAATATCTATAACTATATTTCCAGCAAATAAATATATAATAAAAACATAAAATAAAAATAAAAACTTTT